AAAATAAAATGATCAGATACATTACATATAGGAGCTAAGTTGCCAGGCAAGGGGACTTTTGCACACCTGCATGGTGGTGTCTTCAGTGTTGTGTACCCAAGTTACTTTCCACGTAACCTCTTCTTTTACACCTCACCGTTCCTTTGCTTGCTGCTCTCCACCCCCAACAAAGGAACTACTCAATTTTAGGGATTGTATCCCTATAAGCCCAAGGCCTGCATTTACATAATAATAATGCTGAATATTGTTACAGTGTCTCCTTCTGAGGATCTCAAAGCGCTTCACAAACTGTTGTTTAAGCCTCACAACACCCCTGTGAGGTAGGTTAAGGTATTACCCCCATTTTACAGAGCCAAGACTTTTGTGTGTGTGGCACAATCACACTTAAGTATTCACTAGTCTTCAAGGACAGCTTCCTAACCTGAAGCCTAGAATAAAATAACGTTAGTATGCCAGAAGCGTTTCGGTTCTGGTTCCTACAGTCCGCCCTGGTGAGTTTGAAGGGGTGATGGGGAAGGGCTAAAGCAAAGTGCTGGGTAGGTTGCTGCTCTGCCACCGCAGACATGTGGTTTTGGAATGTTTGTACAAGTGGCTGGACTGGCTAAACCGCTTGCCACATTTTAAACAGGCATAAGGCTTCTCCCCCGTGTGCACACGGATGTGCTTCTTGCAGTCTGTTAAGGTCAAGAAAGTCTTGCAGCAGATTTTACAGGCATATTTGCGAGCACCTTCCACAACCAAGACATTGTGCTCAGATAAGGCCTTCTTGCATTTTGAAAGAACGTCAGCAGATGCCCGGGTCAACTGGGGTGGACCAGGCTGTGAAGGATGCCCATTTTCAAAAGAGGAAGTGGTCCCGTTCATTATCAACTGGGAATTTGATGCACTATCTTGCATCTGGGAACTCCTGACAGAAGTCACAATAGGCATTTTGGGGGCTATGCGACGATAACCAGGAAAACTACTAGCTCCACCTCTGGCAGAGCCTATCACTGCCCTTGATAAAGAGTGTAGCCCCAAACCAGACCTTGGGAAATCCATCCCAAACTGTTCAGCAGCTCGGTAACCAGAAGTCTGTACACATGGAAGACCCATTACATCTTGCATAGGCCTAACAAAATGGGAATCTGCAGGTTCACTGAATGGATTCTCTATATGAGAGACAGTAGCAGAGGAATGACTGTTACTGGGCCCAGACTCTGGGCTCATTAAATAAGAGGCATCTCCCTCCATTCTGCAGTCACTCGTGGTATTTGGAATGTTATCATCATTGTTTTGATTAGCAACAAAATTGCCCCCTCTGCTCTTATTCAGAAAATTTGAGATGCTGAAAGTGGACTTGTGTTCCAGATTATTTGACACCTCCATAATATGGATGTCTCCCACCCTATCAGTACTAGACTGTGGATCAGAAAAGCTACGGTCACTACTTTCAGGACTCAATTCTATCTTTTCTGCAGTCACCACTCCTCCTTCCACTTCAACAGACTCGCTGCCTTCTGCTTGAGAAGTGACATCACTCACTTCATCTTGAGGCTCTGGAGAACTCAAGGGCTCAGATTTCACTACTACCCTCATGTGTTCTTTCTCATTTAGACTAACATCTGGATTTTCACACTGAAAACTATTTTTCTCAGAAGTAGCCTCTTGGTCATAGCTGGTTTCTACTTGTGTTGCCTGAGATGCCATGGATGTTTGTGAAATGTTCCCTCCACTGTTGTCAGATTGACTGGGCACTTGAGCATCTTCTTGGGCACTGAAAGACTGATCAAATATGATTGCATTATCTTCTTGGTTATCAGTAACAGCATCAGCTTTAGAATTGTCCACAATCTTTAGTGAATCTGGTGAAAAGAATTCTTCTCGCGAATGAACTACTGACTGCCCACTCTCTGGAGTTACTTCTGAAATGGATTCATCTAAGGTAGGCCTGATTCGTTGTCTGGCTCGGTCTTCAGAAGACTGTTTCCGCTTGTGGAGACGCCGCATCGGAAAAGTAGTGCGCTGCTCTATGTTACTTCTGATTGATGAGCTCATAGTATTTTGCTGTTCTTCTGTGTTCTGAGTAGAATTCAACGCAGAGCTCACTATACTCAACCCAAGTTGTTGGAGCATAAAGGATCGTTGCATGCGAGCATTCTGCTCTTGAACTCTCTCACTAGGTGGAGACATTGGTAGTGTCCTTGTAGTAAGATAGTGTTTACAGGCTTTCACAACAGAGTTCAAATGCAAGTGGGAGGCTGCTAGCAAGACATCCATAACATTGCTCTCCCCAAGCATGAGTGTGGAAGTATACATCATGTCAATCAGAGCAGCAAAAGCTTCTGCTGTCACCACCTCGCTGTCCAGCTGGATCATGTTCATGGTCTGATCTCCTTCTGCTACAGTAAAGAGAGCTCGGAAATGAGTGCTGCATGCTGCCAAAACTGAGCGATGGGCTTTGAAATGCCTGTTCCCCACCACAATGACACAGTCACAAAGTTGGCCATGAAGACGCTGGTAGTTTAACTGCTGAAAGATCTGTTCAAAGTGTCCTGGGAAATCCATGATGCTACAAAACAAAAACAAACAAAGACAAAAATAAAAAGTTGAAGATGTATTGAGATTGCAGTGAGTCACTGGTTAATATCTGAAGGAAGGTGGCTCAAAGACAAACTAACAACTGCAACTGATTTAATTAATCAGTCCTACATTGATATCACACCTCTGCCAGTATAATGCAGAAAACTAGACTTGGCTGGATTTATTTTATTTGCCACTAGATCTAAAAGTTCCCAGCCCACAATTAAATATGTTATAGACTAATCTGGTAGAGATGCTCATCATTAAGGTTGCCTGCCCATTATGAAAATAAACTTTGATAAACTAACTGTTCATTTTGATTGAGAATGTTATCCCTAAAACTTCTCCCCCTATAGTCAACTAGTCCTAGGGCTGAGAAAGAGAACAGGCAATCTCTCTCATCCGTTTTCAAGGGCCCTTCTCTCCGCAGTCAGGAAGTATGAAGGAAGAGGTAAGCTATAATAATGAGGAGAGGGGACTGCAGAAAGCAAGGAGGTGGAAGAAGAGGGAAAAGTAAGCGTGGTAGGGGAGACAGGAAAAGAGGTGGATGCTAGCCACAGGAAGGACTGACTAGTAATATTTCCATACAAAACCTGGGATTGAAACCAATATGCAGTTATCCCTTTCAGCAGGGATAACTGCATATTAGTGTTTCCAGTTTCTCCATAGCTCAAGGAGTCAAGGACTGTAGTATGAATCTGGATGTCCAAAACCTACTACTGGTAATAACTCTGTGTGACAAATTGGGGGTGAGGGAGAAGAATAATTCTTAAAGATAGGAAATTACTTACTGCCAAAGTAATGAACATAAAGACAGAAAAAAGTCAAGAATGCAGAAGTTTAGGAAATGCCAGAAGGTAGGCTGCCTATAACTTAATTCTGCCTCCTTGTGTATTGTATAGTTTTGTACAGCTTTCAATTAAAATAGGCATATAATATCTTTTAATCAGAGGACCACCAGCTCTTTCAGTGTGCAGAATGAACAGTGCTCTGAGAATAAAGAGCTGTAGAGTAAACAAGGCTACTTTCTTCAAGAGCACTGCTTTACACTGCAAAACTACAAATGCAAACTACAGGAAGAGAAACAATTATCTTAGGGTTCAGGATGTGAAATGCCACCCTGAATTCTACCCGTCTCTGCCACAGAATTCCTTTGTGATGCTAGATATTTTGCGTAAATCCAGATGTTCACAACACAATCACTGATTGTATGCTCCTCATTTTATGAGGGCCCAATCTAAGATTCCTGTGGTCAGATTTGAAAAAATGCTGTGCATTCACAACTACAGCTTAAGTAAATGGGAATTGTGCTTTGAACCTAGACTGCTGTGCAAATACAGATATCTTTGAAAAAGTTAGGTTCACAAGTCAGCCAGTCAGAACTAATGGACACTTGATATTGGTCCTTAATTCACTAGAGGTGTTGTGAAGAGAACTGTGTTAACAACAAGATACTCTCATACTACAGTGGACATTGAAATGAGCATCAGGAAGACAGTAATTTTGCATTAAGTACAGAATTTGTTAAATCAACATGCGGGCTTTTCAGGACAATAAAAAAGCTACCTTCTTAGGCATCTGTACAGACCTTACAACATAGATGTAGCAGCAACAACACACCAGTGAAAGTCCCCTGAGCACAGGGAATCATATGACCGTGATTACCCATAAGCGTGCAACTTCCCATTGCAATGTGTCAGCAGGTAATCAGTTTGACAGTGGCAGATCAACTGCTTGGGATGACTATTAGAGAGGTGCATGCAGCTGTGGAAAAGATGTTAAAGGCACACTTCATAAGGCTTTGCAGTACACAGAAGGTTAATCGTGGTTCTGCACACTGAGACTTCACAAACTGTACTGGAGGAACCATCAATAGTAGCCTTTGCTTTCCACACAAAGCTTCAGCGAAAAAAAGTGTTGCCGTTTGTTTCCTGTGGCACCTCCAGGCACCGCAGATCACCATTAATGCATGGGGAGTGTGGAAAGGTCCATGGTACTATGATCTTTAGAAACTCTTTACCTTTTCTTTACTGAAAAAAGGAACTTTGGCTCTCAGGATGATCACAGAGAATAGTAGCACGAAGGCTGTCCTGTGATTCTGGGAGACTCAAAATATGCTCTGCATCCTTGGCTTCTAAAGCCTTTGACAGAACACACAGATAGGATAAAGGACCTGCTCATTTATGCCCTAAGTAACTACTCAGTAACAATAAAGAATTTTCCTGGAAGACAAAGCAGAGTGCAGACATCTATTAATAAGGGCAGAAGCTACTGAGCAAGCAATACACGTCTCTATAACTGTTCTCTGTAGTTTGCACAGGGTGCAACAGAAAAAGAGACTCTCAGGGAAGAGACAAAGGTGCAGTTTCAGGACATCAAAACATTGAGAGGTTTTCTCCAAACCGATAATTAGAATGGCAATGGGGACCGAGATACCTTGTAGCAATTGGCTGGTAATACTGTAATGAGATTTTATTATGTTTTCTGGCAGGGTCTCATTCATTTGTGCATCCACTTGTAGGCGATTTGGAAACACTTTGTCAAAGATTTCTTAGAAAAGGCATTGTTGTTTGTTTATAGAAAAGTGCATTTTTATAAAGCTTTCCACAAAATTTACTAGCTGAAGTACCCTCCTGAAAACCATACCTCTTTGGTTTCCGTTAGTTTCTATTTCTGGTCTTGCACAGACTAATTCTCTGGTCTATTTAACAAAAGATCTCCCTCTGGCTCTAGTTCAAGGGTCAGGTTCTGGGTCAGTGCTCCGGGTGGGAGCTTCCAATGAGCCAGGAGGGCAACAGGTTCTGCATCCAAGCTCCTAAACCTGTGTGTGCTGTCCAGAGCTGATGCCACTGCCCACACCCACAACTGATGCCTGGTGCTGCTGGGCAGAAGCAGTCTCACCTGCTTGCCTGAAACCATGTAGCAGCCAGAGCTGCCAACCACCTGAAGCTATCAGCCAGATCCAATGACTTTGTGGTCATCCACCCACAGGGCAGGCAGGCTAAATCTGCTAGTAAGCCAGATCGGGCCCACAAATTGTATTTCACCCACCCCCCGCCCTAGTTGGCAGCCTCATCAGCACCTTCACTGTTGTGTGCCACAAACTGAGGTTTGGTATTACTTCCCAGAAAAAGTACTAGCTCCTCATTGTAAGATCAGGTAGCTAGAACACAAGAAACCTCTTTTTTGTTCTTTGCTTTCTTATATGCCTGTCTGAATTGCTTGTCCTTACTGTAGCATCCTAGGAACAATCCCTCTTGGCTGGTGTGCCCAACCAGTCAGGCCCATGGGTCTGATCTGGCACACTAGGCTGGCCCCAGTCCATGAGCCCAGCTCCAGCCCCACACCAAATCATACCCACAGTCCCAGCCCCATGCATGAGACCACGTCATTTGGTACACAGGGCTTGAAAATCCGGTGGGTGGGTGGGGAGGAACTGTTTGCACTGTTAATTGCCACTGCTGCACTGACACCAAATTTCTCGATCAGTGGGGAGCCTCACAGGCCAGATCTGGCCCACGGGCTGAAGGCTGATCACCACTGCTCTTGGCCATTTACTAGGGTAGGTGATCATTTATCTGCTTCTTGTAGTGGCTCTTGAAGCAGGCCCACACCATCACTTCTTTCCAAATGGAAAGGCAATCCAGAACCTCTATATTGCTGCAGAAAATTGCAAAAGGTAGGGCTGATGTAACAACATAATGCTGAGGTGAAACCTGCTCATGGACATAATGCTGAGGTATCTGAATCCAGGATCGTGCAACTTCAAATGAACCAATCCTAGATGCATGTCAGCAGTAACAAGGGGATGGTGATGCCACCTCAACATGATCCCTGAACAGCAAGGGGTGCTCAGCAAAACAGGCAAGTGAGTCCTAGTGTGATGCAAAGCTATCTTAGATAAGTTTGAAATCTCAACACATGAAATGATTAGAAATTCAACAGGTTTGTTTGGGACACCCACATACCACCTCCGTCCCTCCTCTACATATTGTATCCAATATATTACTCCACATTTAACTACTTTATATCTCCAAGGTGGCCAAGTCAATGCTGGTATACAAATGCTCAATTTAGCATCACCTAATTTTTGTCCATTCACTTTCTCAATGATTTCACCTTTTTGGGCGGTGTTCAGCAAACTGATCATAATACAAACATAGTTCAATGGTCTGTTGACAAGCATAAGAAACGGGAATGATTTAACGTAGCAATCTGTGCAATTATACAGTGAAAATATGTCAGCCAAATAATTGGCATTTTTTTGTGTGTGTCACTTATCCCTTAGTGCAGTTCTTTTAGTCATAGATATATTAATTCTAACACTCGCTTTTACAGTCAGTTATAATCTTCAAAGGATACTCATTATAAACCCAGTTCTTTCCTAAAGAAAATTATCCAGTTAATTCGGTCTTGAAACTCTCAAGCCATCTAGTAAGTTGATCAAAATTTCCCTTTCCACTTATTTTGATTATAATATTCACAATATTAAATCAGAACTTTTCTATAGTATATGTTTAGCAAGGGTTTGAAAGATTAATATGCCTACCCACCAGAGGCAAGTGGTAAGATTTTTTACCCAGTTAATTTTTTTTTTTAAAAATCAATCAAGATAAGCCATCAGTTTCAGAGATGTTAAGCTTTCAATATAAAAATCCATTCTTTGCAACCATAACAACTACAAGTGGCAGGGCTTGGGGTTTTTGGGGCAGGGCTGGGGGGGAAGAGGAAGAGGATTTTGTGGTGAGGAGGCCAAAGAGGGAGAAAATACTTTATTGTTGTTTCTTGTAAGATTCAAAATAGCACACTCTAATTCAAGTTGCTTATATGCTTTGAGTCATAAAAAAAGTTTTAAAAAATTCTTGAAACTACTATACTAGAAATGTTAATACTTACACTTTTCTACAGCATGATTTAAATATTCACTAAACAATGTATATCAACATCACCAGGGAAGTGTACATTTCAGTCATAACAGCCCCACGTTAT